CAAAGAATGCACCAAGGAGCGTGTTTTGGACGCCCAGGGAGTTGGGAAGAGGGATATGGACTATTGGGGGCGGGATCTCTGGCGACTGTTTGAAATTCATGACTTGTTTAGTGCACATGCCGCATAATGTTGCATACATTTGAGCGGTTGGCGGCATGGCCGCGGGTATATTGCAGCTGCCACTATTTGCTGTTTTTGCCGCTGTTATTACCGCTCCTGTTGCTGGTGTTGTTGGTATTGTTTCCAAATGAGGAGCACCGCACAAATATGCAAGGATATATCTGGGAAGCTGCTTGACATAACTGCATGACTTTCTTAGGGCTGGGGAAAGAGGGATTGATAGAACACTTTTGCAAGAAAAAAGCAAGAAGAAAGATTTCATTTATTTTATAAAAATGAATGCCAATTAATAAACCTAGTTCCTCAAAACATACATTATCCATTATCCTTATTTTTGTTGGTCACTTTATAAATATTACCTCTAACCATAATAAGAACTTCAAATAAGAAACACTTTTAATATAAAAAATCTTCATCTGAGGCCAAGAGGATTTTAGTAAAAAACAGTCCCATATTAACGCTATTTTAGGTGTCTAAAAGTATGCAACAATAAATGTTAAGCTGAGAATTTGAGATTAACAACACGTGAGATAGAGATTTGTATAGCATTCCAAAAGTTTCATAAAGAAGATTTCGATTTGGGAATTCCCGAAAAACACAGGAAGATATTTAAAAAACTGCAAAAAAAAATTGTAAATTGCTTATAAATATAATTTTAGTCAATTTTTATAGGCTTAATAGAGTTGGTGGGACTACATCGAAAAATAATTACATTCTTATTTCGGCATGTCGCGCACTGTCTGCAGTTGTGCACACTTAAGCCAACATAAGTACCACTGTATTTGGGTAATATTTATGCATTTTCACATAAATGCCAGGCATGGGTGTGTGCGTAAGATGTGCATTCATGGCTTCGACTTGTTTTGCATGCTAATTGCCTTTGACGTTGAATGAAAGAGATAGAAGTGCAGGCAGAGGGAGAGGGGAACACATCTGTCTGCAGCAGTTGCAAATTGGTCGCCTGCACTTGATTATGTGCGAAAATGGTTCACAGTGCCGTGCTCCTTGATAAACCAATTTAGATTTTTAATTTTTTATCAAGCTGCCCAAATTGATTCCATAACGAAATACATTGAGCGAACATTTCAATTTTGTTTTGGTTTTACCATTTGTTTGCAATCGTTTCCATGAATTCTGTTTGCTATGCCACTAAAAAGGAAATATTTCTAGAGTAAACTTTGCTTGTAAAATCATTTTCCAGCTGCGCTCGAAAGTATGCAGCTGTGCAAAAAACCCAACCTCGATTGGGAAATTTTTCCTTCTCAACGAAATGTTTACTTCGGTATTGCGGCAAGTTGAGGGAATCTTGTTGCATAATTTACTGCAGGCAGTGTGCGTTTTGCAATCATGTACTCCCACTATTTCCCGCCACCATTTCCAAATCCCATCCCGGGCTAATGGTACTCTGCATATTTCATCATATTAAGTGCCAAAACAACGCATAATCAAGTTCCATGAACCCCATGCCCTGTTGTAGGTCCATTTGGGGGAAGGGTAAGAAGCACTCTCCGTGTAACTGAATTAAGTTCCGTTCACAATACAGCACAATCTACTACCGCAAAATGTTGCAAGCTGAAATTTCACCGAATCATCAATGCAACTGGTCTGGTTAAGTTCCCATCGATTTCCCCTTCCCCGCCCCACTTGCCACCCGTCGAGTGCACTAATTACACGGCCAAACAATTTTGTATTTCTGGGGCTTTTGTTTATGCGACTAAGCGAACTTGTATCTGCTCTGCACGCTGAGCGGAATGCCTCAAATTGGTTGGGTAAACATTTGGCATAGTGATTAGATTCAAAAGGTTTCTGCGGAGTTAATGAGGTTTCAAAAAGTAATATTAAACCTTTATTAATTTTTAATAATTAAATCTACTAGATCTATTATTCATAATATGCATATTAGGTAATTGATGTTGAGTAATCATATTAAAAAATAATTAATGTTTTAAAAAAGTAATATTAAACCTTTATTGATTTGTATTAATTAAATCTACTATTATTCATAATATGCATTTCAGGTAATCGATGTTAGCAATCATTCTTTAAAAACAAATATTTCGCATGAATAGCTATTTAATAATTATTATAATACTTATATATTTATTATAGTATAAATCGGGTACGTAAACGGAATGACAGAATGTACTAATTTTATTTATTTTACTGATGTGATTTCTGTATGATTTCATAAAAATCAAGAAAAGAAGATATATTTTTAAGGCAACTTAAAAAATTTTCAGATTTTCGACATGGCTTTATTATAACATTAATTTTCCGCACACTTTGTGCATTTTGTTTATAAAATGTGCTTTGTTAATAATGTACATTTGTTAATATACACTGTTTTACCTAGAACACATTTAGCTTGCTTCCGCTTTGTGTGTTATGGGAAATAAATCAGCATGCAGTTAAATTTTTGTATAAAAATATAAGTGAAAAAAAATTAAAAAAAAGTGTTTATAAAATCTCAGCCAAATTAAATTTTTTATGAGTGCTCATCAAACAGAACGATGACTTCATAAAACGCTTTCATACAAATATTAATAGTGAAACGAACAGAAATTAAAAAGTATTATCAAAAAACTTGCTGATTGCAGTGCTGTCATCTATAATTAATTACCTCCGTTAGACCTAAAATACCTAAAAACAAAAAAATAGCAAGTCATAAAGTAAGGGCTATGACTTAAAACCTATTATATGGACAAGGCGGGGTTGGTAAACCCTTGAGATTAGCACATGCCATAAATTCGTTTAAGTCCCTATAATCCATGCCACACAAACACACCCAGTCATAACCATAAAGGCATTCATACATTAGCTCAGACAGTGCTTACGATCCGAATCAGCTTTCCTCGGAAATACTGGCTTGAAGCATTTGCTCTGTGAAATTTGCATGGGATGCAGTTATGAATTTATTTATGACCCTCATTCTCCGGATGCTTGTGCTTGTGTATACCTCACTTTTGTCTTTCTCACTTTTTGTAATCCTTTTGGAATTTAATTTGCTTTCCATATACATATTTAAACATTTGCACATCCATGACCAAAAATAGCAAAGCCAAAAATATATCTTCTACCAGCTTGGCAATGTGCAAAACATTTACGGTGAGACCATTACTTTGAAAACAGGGTAAATCACAGAAATTTTATTATAAACAAAATAATAAGATGCATTGTAATTTAAAGGGATTGCTAAATTCAGAATGTGCTAACATTTTAGAGCAAGCCAGAAAAACGGTTGCGCTTTGTTTATAATTGAATACTGTTGTTCTAGAAATATCTTTGACGTTAAGAGGTACTTGTTTTCAAGCACGATCTCTAAATGGTTTGAAAAGACACATTTTTTATACTTTAGTAGATTAGTAAATGGTAATAAATTATATTTCTCTTTTTATTTCCACTCGTGGAAAGTTCATCAATTAATTCTCTAATTTTTTCTATGACAAAACATCACTAAAATTTTATAGATTTTCGCATTCTACGTCTGCAGATTTATGATTTTCTTCGGGGGCTATAATTTTTTGTGGATATTGGCGGCGTTTTGGGTGGTCCAAACCTTGTATTCATTCTTCACCCATTTCTCAATCGAATACGTTTTGTTTATAAAACAAAAATAGGCTGCTTATATAAGTACATTACCATTTGTGAAAATTGTCTGATTGAATAATTGGTATTTTTGGATACAATTGTTGCAAAAACAGAAAGCAAAAAAGCGCTTGATCATTTCCTTAAAATATTTCAAGGGCAATTTTGAAACGCAGCAATCTTAAAAATGCAATAAACACTTATGTTATCATCATCATCTTCATTAAAAATGAATAATTATAAATAAAATAAATGGGAAAGCCCCATAAAATGAATAATTGCTATATGGGATGCCCCATCATTGCTAAATTTAACTCTACTTTAATCAGTTTTATGATTATAAATAAGTTTAAGAAGCTTAGAAATAAGTTATTTTAGCTTGAATTCTTTTATTTGTATTATTATTAGTTAATACCGAACTTTTAATTTCACTTTATTTAAACAGTCGGAAATATCTTTGAAATATTGCAAACCATTACAACCATTAAATTTCTAGATGCATTTTACCGTTTTAAAAATTTGTGTTGTTATAAAATAAATCAATTACTTATTATTTAGGTTTTACAGACGGTTATTTTTTAACCTTTTAAAATTAAATAAAAAGTTCCGTAAATTTAAGTTACAAAATGGAAAAAAATACAATATTTATGTACACAGAGAAAATTCTGACGTTCTCATCTGAGATGAAAATGTTCGTAAAAAATGGAATGACATTTTATGTTGAAAATGTTTTTATTTTGCTTGAATCAAGTTGAATTGGCGGTATTTAATTACATTGTATGTAAAAATAAACTATTAGTTCAGTCCTTATCTAATGGCTAATCTAACTTTTCTCTTCTCACCATTTCGTTCCTATATTGATACCAAAATGTACTTACACGGTTTTTAAGAACGATTGTTCTCAATTCAAGAACAATGTTCTCAATTCAAGAACAATGTTCTCAATTCAAGAACAATGTTCTCAATTCAAGAACAATTTTCTTAATTCAAGAACAATGTTCTTAGATAGTTTTCTCTGTTTACGATTTTATAAAACATTAAAACCGCCTCTCGCTTTATCAGGCCGGTCTCTTGGTTTTAAAAAGAGAACCGGAGAGTCAAGTGACCGTTTAGGGAACCATATCTAGGGTTTGAGGCTTTTGCTTTGGCTGCCTTTTTGTTTATTTTTTTTCACACTGATAAAATGTGAAGAAAGAAAACCCCGGGCGTTTGGCGCAGCGTGCGATTGATTGAAGTCCGGCGTCGACGTCGGCGTTGCCGTCGCTATATAATGATCATCGGAGGGAGGTTCTCCGGTTCGAGTTCGGGATCGTTGGGATCAGTCTTTGGGACGCGCGTTTGCCGTAAAGATCGCGGAGAAGAAGTGCTCGGAAACCGAATTCTTCAATCATTTAGTGTGCCTCTTTTTGTGGTAAAGTTTATTTTAATTCATTCCATAACAGTGTTGTATTAAATTTTGTAATTACTGATATTCAAGTGCTCTATGAACTGAAAAATAATAATAAAATAATGCTAATTAAGTACAGCTTAAAACAAATTGATTAAGCGCATTAAATGATATTCAATACAAACAGAAAGCAAGAGGGTGAAAAAACATGAGAGTAAAAGTCGCATAATTGATTCATTTATGCACGCTCAGCGAAATTAATCTATGAATATTCGCCATGTAAAGCGATTTAAAAATGCCGAAAGCGGGCTAGCATTTAATATGTAGATTATTTTATTTAAATCGTTATTTTGTGCTTGCTCTTTCGGTGTAAAAATCAGCCTGCTGAATGAAATCAGAGAGATAAAGAAAAAAGTGTGGAGGAACTCTTTGTGTGATTGGGGCCCAACAGCTGATTTCTTACTTTTAACCTTTTTTTTCCCTTTTTATTCCCAATTAAAGTTCTCTTGAAGATATTTCGTTGCCACTCTTAAATACTTTTTATGCGCGCAAGAACACATAACACACAACATATCTTAAAAATCCAGAATATTATGCTCTGAGAACCCGCAGACTTTGCTCTTTAAGTTTTCTTTTGTTGTCCCATTTGTTTGTGTTTTGGTTGTTTTCGTATTTATATAAAATATCGTTAAATTGGGGGCCGCAGTATATTTACTAGCCAATTATTATTGTGAAACTTAATTATACACGAACAGTTACTTTTTATAAAACAATTGCTTTTACTCTTTGCAATACATTTATTTATTTCCTTAAGTAAGATTATTTCTCCCAGTTCACTTAAAATTAAAATGATTTGTTTATTGATTTCCGGCGGATTTCTTTCTCTGCCAGTTGAGATTCAAAGAAAATATTTAGACAAACGTTGTGAAAATTACGTAACTTACAATTTGGCAGTTGATTCATTTATAGAAGTAATTAAATTATTTAAGTAGGGTCTGACGAAAACCTTAAGAGGTCGGACAATATCAATAAAGATTGTGTGTATATAGATTGCACGTTTCCAAGTCATTCATAAGTCTGATTAACTGCATAACAATTTTAACTTATCGGTCAGAAATATTAATCTCACCCGACTTGGTTTAAGCTAACTGGAAGTACCTTGTTTTATGATCTTAACTTCCGTTCCCTGACCGATAAATTTATAGATTATTTAGGGAATTTTTGTACCAAGATTATAGTGACTCATAACTTTTGTGATTGTTTTTGTGATAATAGTTTAATAATAGTTAATTAATAGTTTAAGACAAAAACTTATAAATAATACATTTATTAAAAATATGAATGTTCAATAAATGTGTTCGATTAGCAATCCAGATTAAATTACCGAAAAACTGGCGTTGTAGATGCTGTGTAGGAACTGATTTTAATTTTGTCATCAAATAGATTACTATCAATGCCATTGATATGGGCATCAAAGGCGGAATCCTGTATAAAAAGAATAAAGTTTTATGATAGTAAGATGATTAATTTTGTTATATGCTTTTACTTACTGATCCCAAATTGGTATTCCGATATTCAGTCTCGGCCTTCAAAAAGGCGGCCACGCCCTCATTGACTTCTGAATTATTCTTATTATCAAAGTGATTTTCAATATCTTCATTGGTTATTGGTCGGGAACGTCTTGACTTTCCATCCCTTGTCTGGTTTTTTAAATCCCTATCTTGCTGCCCAGCACTATCTTTTTCTTTTCGGATCTCTTTGCGTTCGTAGTCGATGCGCAACTTAATGGCTTCTATCATGGTGATGGGATCCACCGGAACAGGTTTTGCCGGAACGGGTCCTGCAAAGGCGATCTCTCGGGCATACTCGTTGAAGTTCTCACGTCCATCGAGACTGGCTTGTATGATGCCCGGACAAAAGCGATCCTTTACCAAGGTCTCATGGAACTCATTTTGAATGCGCTCAGCCAGACGATCCTCAGCTTTTTTTTGGGATTTTCACCATTAGATAAGTGTATATATGTGTATAAAGTCATATGGCATATCATCTTACGTGTTTGAATAGGCACTCGCAATGAACGTCCTCTCAGAGAAGAGTTTTGATGGGTTTTATCCAATGAAGTTTGCTATCAAATCAAGTTTTAAATTAAGCATATAAGTATTACAAACTTACATTCAAGCACGATCTACCCAACATTGCGTGGGACATGTCCAAATAGGTTTGATTTCTTGAGGCAGACTTATTTCCACAACAGCCAAAACTTTGGTTATTCTCCGTACTTTTTTCACACGCTGTAGATCCTTGGCCACAGCAACTGGGATTATTTTTGGATCGAGAGTTTTGATCGTTATCTATGGAATCCTGGCATAGCGGCGTTCGATTAAAAGATACATCCTAGTAATTTTTTAAATGTATGTTAATTAAACGCAAATCTGACGTAACAACTGAAAAATTGTTATCTAATAACTAAAATGAAGTTAGAGCCTTCATTTTAGTTATTAGATAACAATTTTTCACTTACAACTTGAAATTTGAAAAATTGTCGAAATATTTATTAAATTATTTATATTTAAACTTACGTTTAGACACTGATTTTGAGCAAGACTTTGGTTTGGTTGGGGTCTACATCTCGCATTTCTCAGAGACTCTGGTGGTTGCAGGTAGCTTGTTTTATTGAGTTCCGTTTCATACTGAGTTTATAAATAAATATACATATGCCTTAAAATAATTAAATAAACATTTGGATAACACAACTAACCTGCATTTGTCGTTCTTGCAGTTGTGGCGATTCGCACTGTTTTGAAAGATAGATTATGATTAGACTAGTTCGCTTTGATCACAACTTACCAGTGTTTGTCTGCGTAGCATTTCGGGAGTTTGCCCGCATTCGTACATTGAAGTTACCGTCTTTTTTAAAATTTTAAAAAATTTATTAAAGTTAAAACATTATTATTCTTAATTAATTACGCTTTGTGGCCTGCAGCTTGTGCTGCACATTTGGCAAGAAGCCTTTGGTTGGTGACGGGGTCCTGGTTGGGGGCAATTTTTTACCGATTGCTGATGACAATCATCTTGGTTTATTCTAGTGCTATTGAGATCTGGTTGCTGATATATAAATTTATAATTGTCATCGCATGTTTAGAGGTTTTGTATTGCTGTCACTCACAAATACAATGGGCTCGTCACTTTCCAACCATGATATATTGGACTGATTGTGCTGTCGTGATTGCTGCTGCTGATATTGCTGTTGCTGAATTTGATGCAACAGCATTTGTCGTCTTTGAAACTCGCCGTAGTTCATGCCAATTTGGGATGTATCGTTCCAATCGTATGAGGTGCTATTTCTTGAACTGTGATTTCGGTCATATCTATCGCTATGGTTGAAGTCCCTGTTTCCACCTGGTGCATTTAGTTCGCACTATTTGGTGTAAGGATTTATAAAAATATATTGTAGTGTTTCACTTTTATGGCCAAGTTACTCACGGGTGTACGAACATTATGTGGTTTGGTATGATGTGTGCCTTTTTCTGGATCCTGTGATTAATTTTTTACCAATGATTCTAATCTTCAACCCCTTAATACTTACGACGTGATTGGAGTTATGGTAATCAAACTTATGAGATGTATTATTCCTATCATGATGTCTGGGGACGCTGTGGGATCGTGAGACATTATGTCGGGGATGGTGTGATTGGTTGACCAGAGATTGAAAGGGAATTAATGAATCGAGAGGGATTAGCTGCTGTGGCAAAGTCTGAATTGGTGGACTATTATTTGGACACTCCGGCAAGTTGCAACATTGCTAAAGTTAAGTGATATATATACATATAAAGAAGTAAACAATCAAGGGATCAAACTCACATATTCGTCGTCTTTGTTACTACAGGCTGGAAGCTAAGAATATAATTTATGAAATGTTGCGAATATTATCTTGTTTGTTTTTACCACTTTTTGTATCATTGGTTCATTCTGTCTGCTGCCATTGAAGGTGGATCGATACAGGGGATCTTGCGCCGGTTCAAAGGTATTACGTCGCATTGAGAACCGACTGACTGTGGGACAGGGATCGTAGCTGTCGTCGTCGCTTATGGGATAAGTCCTCCTTAAGTTATTCTGACAAGGATTTTGGGTTGTCGCCGCTGAATTCAGGTCCTTTTGGTATCCCAGAAACCGACTTAAGGCCAAAAAGAGCTCATCGGGCAGCAGAACAGAATTTCTAGTGATATCCATTCATAAAACAAAACGACAATGAACACGGACACTTCTTAGATATATCAACCAAACTTGTTTTGCAGATTGTCAGATGGTAATGATAGCAATTCTTACTTACATACAATCTAACCAATTTGAGAACAGCTTTAATAATATTGGGCTACGTGGGTTCCAAAAATATTTCGTTTATTTTGGTCTATGCAGACCTAATGCAAAATCGTATTTGCAAAAACCTTTCCTAACTGGAATTTACATGGTATAGAAAGTGACAAAAGTTGTTTACGTAATTTTGAAAATGTTAGATAGGAAAGTATGATGCTTTAAATTAAAAGACATTAAAATCAAGGCTTATCTAAAAAGTCTAAATTTTAATCGAATATTTTGAGACCAACAAAGTGCACTGTTTATATCACCAATGAGTTTCAATATATTTTAGATTGCACAATAATAATACATGATTCAAATAAACAACATTTTTGGCTTAATTCGTTCTAAAATATGAACGAAGTAATAGTACTTAATGACTTCTTAACCGAAATTTAGCAACACTCTTGTGCTGCCAATTTCACTTTCCCCCTGGCCTAATTTGCCATTATGCGCCCACTAGCGTCAGCAATCGGATGAGATGCGAGGCACCATCCATTATCCTTTTGGCCTAATCCCTCATCGCTGTCATCTCTCCGGTGTTCGCTTCCGTTTGTTCATTAGGCAAATGCAGCAATTCCAGCTCGACAAACGCCAAATCGTTTGTCTCAGCCGTGTCCACATCCGCATCTGCATCCGCACTCGCATCCGCATTCGCATCCGTATTTGTCAGTTGGGTGGAAGGACATCCGCCGGCCCGCTTCAAGTGGGCGTCCAGCTGGGCGAGGAATGTGGGCGTGGCATGTGCGTTACGCGTGAAATCCAATTGCCGCAAACTGGCCGCCTGGGTGGCAAGGAAGCGGAGGAGGGAGTACACCGCCTGCGGTCGCTGCGGCATCCACTTGACGATCCCATCCGCCACATCGTAGTGCACCGTCAGCTGCGAGTGCCATGCAAAGGATTGCAAGCGGAACACATCCTCCACGATGGCCACTGGCAGCAGCCAGTCATCCAGTCGACACTGCAAACGCAGTCCCACAATCCGACAGTTGCGACCCCGAATTTGCTGCAGGCAGGCGGACAAAGTTCCAGTGGCACTGGCATTTGCCTTGCCATCATCATCATCGTCAGCCAGGTGACCCTGCCCCGAGTTTTGACACAGAAAAGCCGTCAGTTCACGGAGTCTGGACAATTGAAAGATCTCAGCAGCGCTGGTATTTACCATACAGGCTGGCAGTCGCAGGGTTTCCAAATTTCTGGGATACTGGTACTTCAGTTGGCTGCAGTTTCGGTTAGAGCGCAGCTCAAATACTCTGAGATGTTTAAGGTTTTTAAGCAGAAAATCCATTGCTAGGGGTGTTAAGTCCACACCTTTACCTAGCTTAAGGTCCACTAAATTGGGGCACAGGTGGGGTAGTTTTTGTAGCACAAAGGTATTGCTTTTGGTGAAACTGAGCCTATGCAAATGATTAAGGCTTCTTCGCTTCCGTTTGAGCCACTTCCGGCAACCTTCGCCAGTTCCTGGCAGGTTAATTAAGGCTCTGGTTCGCTGACCCAAGTGATTCAATATTTCAGCCTGCTCATCTGGCTCTAGCAGCTTTAAAAGCAGCTCCCGGCGAAAATCGAACTGTTTGGCATATCTACTGCTCCACAGACGGAGTATCAAACTGGATAGTCGCTCCTCCTGCAGTCCCATCAATCTCAGTTGGTCCCCCAGCGAAAGATGTTCGCAAATTATCAGCAGGCAGTCGTTGTTCAGCTCCATTAGCCCGCGATTCCTGGGTGGCTCTATGAGGCCTATGGTCACGCACGTCCTGAATCGCATCCCACTCGATCTGCTGTCGCTGAGCAAGCTCGCTCGACTGAACAGGAAGCGCGTGGCATGTGTCTGGCCGATTTCTGAGCTATATATGTCCATGTCCATGGTCTGAACCCCCGTTGCGGCTGAATCAGTGTCGCCTTCGGCGGTTGCAGCAATCGCAGCTGGCAGTGCGTGCAACCGGCGCATGTGTCCCCGATTATACAGATCTCATGGCACAGTGGGACGAGAGGTGACCAAAAGTAGTCAAATATAAAAAAAATTTATTTATAAAAGAAAAGGGATATTTATAACCAAAATAAATCAATTTTCATGTTGGTATTTACTTGGTTTTTATCCACTATACTGGGTTAATTTGGATAAATTATTTCAGATCTTAGATTTATAAAAGAATCATTTAAATTAGTTGCTTTAAAATATATTCAATGGTTCTGACTGAAGGAATATTTATAGATATATATTATTTTTTTACTTTTACTACATAGTTTCAGCTTCAAGTTGTAATTTAGTTGGAATATTTATTAATTAAATGAAATATTTTCTATCATAAAACAAATAAGTAGTTACCACTGTTGTTTGGAGTAAGTTTACCTATAAAACTATTGTAACATGGTATAGTAATCAAAAAAACTATGACCACTGCAACCGTAAACACCACCCCCTTTATCGCTACGCTCCTGGTGGTGGTCGATAAGTGCAACCCCTGACAAACTGTCCACCAGTAAAGAGAGTTCTCAAATCAGTACGGGGTGCGGACATTCTACTTTTCCACACTCTCTTCGAGATTGTGTATTATCGCTGGATGAGCGGAAGGCGAAGAACATACGATATAGGGAAAGACCTCGGCAGAGAGTTGTGCTATTTTTGTAAATCCCCCCTCATAACTCGAGCTACACATGTGGCCAAGGCCAAGGCGATATGGTATAAAAGTTGTGGAAGGTGGAGAGGCCAAATTTCAAGAGCTAAACCAAAAGTAACAGAAACCTGGATGGAAACAAATCACGATTGCTTTTTAATTCGATAATGGGCCAGTTGTAAACAAAGAGCTGTCGTTACTGGTCACTGATAAGTGATCTTCGTACCCTTTGTATATACTTCCCGTCGCCATCCGATTCGTTTATATTTGCTTGACTAGTTCTTCCAGATTAAGAGACACTTATAGCTATCTTAGGTATGTTGCAAAGAAGTAGCACAAGACAATCATCCGATTTTAATCTCTTTTACAAATCTGTGAAATTTAGAATTCTTGGAATTTGTATATCATTGACTTAAGAGGGTGAGAGGCTTCGATAAAGAAATATTACTTTGATAAACCTATAACTCTGCAACTTGATTTTGAAAATTAGATTTATGAGTCATGCTAAAATAATAACCAAGTTTTCCATTTGTTTTTGGGTTTCGAAAAGTATGTTTGGCATTTTGGGGGACTAAAATTAAACAAAAAATTGGGTTGGATCACAAAATTGTTGGGTTTTGGTAAGCGGGACCATGGAGAACGTGCGGTTTCAGGATGTCCAAACGATAAGGTCTTCTCCTTCGCCTGCGATGAGGGTTATCCATGTGGACCTCAACGAGGAGGAGAGTCGTCGGCAAATGGCGGCCAATAAGTATGGAGGCATCTGTTTCCACACAGCCATAGCGGCCATGCTCTGTATAATGCTGGTGGTGGTGTTCTGCACGGCGCCCCTTGGTGACAACCTGACCAATCGCACCGCCGAGGAGCGTTACGCCCGCCGAAGGCAGAGTTACGTGGACAAGGAGCGACGTCTAAGGCTTGGCAGCGGGATGGTCTTGAGTGCCCTGGAGGAGGAGGCCGACGGGCGACTGATGGCCATCAAGCTGGTGGACGAGGAGGTGCACAATCTCTGGCAGAACTACCACTCCCAACCACCGCCGTTCCTCAGGCATCTCAACATCAGCGATACGAATCTTTACGCGGTTTTGAAGAGCATGCCCAAGGGCGGACTCCTCCACGTCCACGATTCGGGAATGCTGAGAACGGAGATCCTCATCGATCTGACCTACCACGAAAACCTCTGGGTCTGCGTAAACTTGGATCAGGGCTTCGAGGATTTCCGATTCTCACGGCTTTTTCCGCACATCCCGCCGGCGGAGGACTACCAGTGCAACTGGATGCTGATGAGCAACTTCTTCGAGTTCGAGCCTCGGTCCGGGTTCGTGGACAGGTTGCGGGAGAGTCTCACCGTCCGAAAGGAGGGTTATAACAGCTCCTCCGAACTGGCTCGGCACCTGAGACGTTACCAGCGCCTAATCCACGGATTGATCACGTTCCGGCCGAACTGGAGCGACTTTATATTCAGCATGCTGAACGATTTCTACGCCGACGGGGTTCAGTATGTAGAGTTGCGTTCCTCGCTGCCAATCGTGAGTGGGAGTATAAAAACTTGTATCAGTGGGTTTTTCGAATCAATTTTTTATAATCATTTATTCCACCCATTCTATCTTAGATACGTTGGAAAGTTTGGATAGCCATTATTATTATGTGTTATTTGTAGGTTTTAGAAAGTTTTCCAACATTTGACATTCTACTTCCTCTTATAAAAACAGCTTAATTATTCTTACGGGAAAATCCAATCGATCAATATGTTGTCTAAGGAATCCCCAACGACACCCTTCCTCATTTTAAAAATTATCTTTAACACTGCCCTTTACCTAGATGTACGATCTGGATGGCAATAACTCCACCATTTTGGAAACGGCAGAGTCCATAGTTTCGGTATCGAATATTTTCAAGAACACTAACAAAGATTTCATCGGAATCAAGCTGATCTATGCACCTTCTAGGGACTTTAATGACAGCCGTATGGAAGAATATTTAGCCAATGCTCGCCTGTTGAAGGTAGTACGACATTATGTCAGTCCTAATCCAAATGAAAGTTAATTTTACTACCTTCCCCGATAGCTGCACTATCCCAATTTCTTTGCTGGCTTCGATCTAAACACCTTTGGGGATGAGTGCAATTTGCCGCATTTGGGACAGTCAACTCAGCTTTTAAAGATCGGCAAGGATATTGACTTTTATTTTCATGCGGGTGAGTCGCGATGTCCGGATAGCTTACGGACGGATGCGAATCTCATAGATGCCCTTTTGCTGGGCAGCAAACGGATCGGAAACTCCGTAAATCTGCCCTTTCATCCGGAGATTATGATGGCCATGAAAAACCTTAAGATTGCCGTGGAGATCTGTCCGTTGTCCAATCATTATCTGCAGTATTTTAACGATTTCCGGCAACATCCGGCTGCGTATTTGATTGCCGCTGGTTTTCCCATTGTGATTGGTTCGGATTATCCGTGTTTCTGGAACTCAGCCCCCCTGACCGACGATTTCTATGTGGCCTTCGTGGGCGTGGTCAGTGGGTGGGGCAATCTGCGCCTGCTCAAACAGTTCGCCTTGAATTCGTTTCTGTACAGCTCCCTCAATGAAACGGAGAGGAATGTGGCCGTAACCAAGTGGCGATGCAGATGGAACCGGTGGGTCAGGAACTTCGTCAACGGTAGTGGATACCAATGAGGGATGGATGTTGAATGGCGAAATATTCAATGTTTTGGGGTATCAAAATTTTATAAAACTGAATTGATTTTTAATGAACTTCCATTAAACTAGAACTTTGGCACCTATATATAAAATAAAGGGAACTTTAAAATTAGTTTATTAATAACTCCTAAGGGTTCTAATCTTTATTAAGCAGAGCTGTAAAATAATCTCTCAAAAAATTATAACTTTTATCTTTAAATACTATTTTTGTTAGGTTTATTAATGGTTTACTAATCTCTTTTTCACCTTTGTATTTGAGTTAGAAATGAACAGAAAATTGATAGCTGAAATATTGGTTTAACCACTTCTGATAAGCAAAATATGATTTATTGCTTAAAAGGTAAGAGGTACCCCACTCGATTCAAATGCATTTTAAATTGAATTTTCAGCTGGAAGTTGAAAGCTAATATAAGGAAGTCTTTTCGATCGCTATCTATGATTTTAGAGTACAGAGTAAACATATTTTGCTTCTATTTAAAAAGGTGCTTCATAATGGGTTTACTTGCACTAGGTGTTTGGAACGTCTTTCTGGTTTATTGAGAGTGCCCCATAAAATGACCAACAGCGCAGCACTCGAATGTCAGGGATATGCTCATGGCCAGGGTTAGGTAATCTAATCTCAAGATACTCGTAAATCAAGTTGCCAGATTGTCGGCGATTAGCTGGTTAGCGGGTTGCCAACCCGCACGCGCAATTATCGCCTCTAGATCCATTCGAACGCGTGTTAAATCAAAGATAATGTCGAGCACCCATCTTTTCAGATAGGCCGCGAACATCGAAACCAAAATCGGAGCTCCTCAATCGCCGCAGACGTCAGTCGCTGAGTGGACCTAGTGGGGATCGGACCTAACCGAAACTACCGCTCATCATCATGCTGCCCGTCATCCGTCGCTATCTTATCGCCTTGGGCCTGTGCGTCTGTCTTTGTTTTGGACCGGGTCTGGTGGAATCACGCAGCCGGGCGAAGAACCTGGTTGATAGAAAGCTGGTGACACTCTACGGCAGCACTCCCCACGTGGAGGCCCTTCTGGGGCCCGGACGTCCCACCCCGGATACCTACAAGACGCTGAGGAGTGCCTTCTTCCGGTACGAGGAGTCCCGAACCCTGGGCTATGATCTGGAGCTCACCGAACGGGAGGCCAAGGCCAACGAGACCATTATGAAGGCCAAGTTGAACGAGTACGGAGAGGGTCTGGTTACCCCGCATCTCTTCAAGCCCGCTCAGCATATATTCGATGTGCTGGATGGCATCCGGAACACCGATCTCTTCAAGCTGCTGAAGAAAATGCCCAAGGGTGCGGTGCTCCATGCCCACGATACGGCTCTCTGCAGCACAGCGGCCATCATCAAGCTGACCTACTACGATAACCTTTGGTCCTGCCAGCAGGAAGGCGATCTTAGCGCCTCCGCTCTGCGGTTCTCCAGGGAGAAGCCACAGGCACTGGAGGACTGCGATTGGAGTCTGCTGTCCGATGTGCGATCCAAGTACGGCGCCGACAAGGTCGACGAGTATCTGGCCGAGAGACTCACCCTGTATCCCACCAAGAAGTTCGAGGACAACAACGCCGCCTGGTCAACTTTCATGACCATTTTCGGTCTGCTCGATGGGCTGGTGATGTACGCCCCCGTCTGGGCGGACTACTACTACAATGCTCTGGAGGAGTTCTACGAGGATGGAGTGCTATACCTGGAGTTCCGCTCCCTCGTGCCCGTGGTAAGTGGTCCTTATATACCACATTCCATAAACTTTGAAGTTCGGTGTTGATTAATATGGTCTATATTAATCCATTTATCAGTTTGTTTTGATTAACTGTATTATAAACAACGAATTATTCATCAAATTAGAGTCAGGATCCGTTTTGTCTATTTCACAAAACTAAACTATAACATTTAAAACCATGCATGTTTTAATAATATTTGATATTTTCTTGCAGCTTTACGACTTAGATGGCACTGAGTTCACTCCAATGGATACTGTGCGTATCTATGTGGAAACCCTGGAGAAGTTCAAGGACGCCCATCCCGATTTCATTGGATCCCGCATGATCTACGCACCCATTCGCAACACCAATCCAGAGGGAGTATCTGCCTATATCGAAACGCTGAAAGAGATCAAGGTGAGACTACTTTAAAATTCTTTTTTAGGGGCAATTCTAACAGTGTAATCTTTTGACAGGAGAAATACCCTGACTTTGTGGCTGGTTTCGATTTGGTGGGTCAGGAGGAGCTGGGACGTCCTTTGAGGGACTTCGTCGATGAGCTATTGACCATACCCGAGGATATTGACTTCTATTTCCACGCTGGAGAGACCAACTGGTTCGGTGCCTCTGTGGACGAGAACCTGATCGATGCCATTTTGCTGGGCACCAAGCGTATTGGTCATGGATTCGGCCTGGTCAAACATCCGGTGGTGCTAGACATGCTAAAGAAGCTGAATGTGGCCATTGAGGTGAACCCGATCTCGAATCAGGTGCTGCAGTTGGTCACGGACTTCCGCAACCATCCGTGCTCGCACTTCTTTGCCGATGGCTATCCGGTGGTCATTTCCTCGGATGATCCCTCCTTCTGGAAGGCCACGCCCCTGACGCACGATTTCTATATCGCCTTTTTGGGAATCGCGTCGCAGCACTCGGACCTGCGTCTTCTCAAGAAGTTGGCCCTGAACTCCATCCAGTACAGTTCGCTGACGGGAGATGCCCAGTTCGAGGCACTGGAGAAGTGGCAGGTGAAGTGGGACCAGTTCATCGCCGATGTCAACGAGGAGGCCTCCAACCGAGGAAACCCCGGTCAGCAGATCGATTGACTAGCACGGGTGGTGACAGCGCTACTGGTCGCGATTTCGCTGATGACCTTCAACCTTTGGCGCTAGTCGGAAAAACCCCCTCCGCCCGCTGCACCTACCACTCCACTCCAACTCAACCTCCGGCTGCAGTGGGTCCAAAGCATTGCATTCTCATCCGCATCCAATCAGAGCCATATCCATATCCACATCCTCAATATCTAACCGTTGTTGTAAGCTAATTGTTATGGACTAGTCCTTAGTTAGAAATAGGCTAATACCTTCCTGTAAACCCATGATATTCTGTGCCACGCCCCTGAAACAGTTGAAGGCTGAAATTCTCTTCTGTGCCGAGGAAAAAGCAATAAAGAACCCGTTTTAGTCGTAGCCGAAATAAGAGTGCATGCAATTTATGTTCGATGCTCAAAGATGCCTGAACGTAATCGTAATGAGTTAGCAAGCCAAGCGGTTTCGAAACACTCAGAGTTGGGCATGTGAGATGGAAACTATATAAAAAAAATTCCCTTTAAAATCATACAAGAATTTCGAGCCTAAGGATTTACAATTTTTAAATTTTTCTGACTTAAATAGAGTTTTTTTTAAATCTCTAGGCGGTTTAAACATTTTCATAAAGTGCTTAAATATATGCTGTATAAGTAGGGCACATTTCTTAAGTATTTAATATTGGGATTGGCAGACTGAATACATAACGCAGCACACTTTGAAACCCTTTTTAAAGTGGTTAGCCCACGTTCTGTCCAATAAAATGTATAGTTTTGTACTCTAACTAAACAAAATAATTCATTTTATCTGCCTTGTAACTTATATGAATTTAGACATAGGTAGTGAATCTCATGCCTTATAATAATTTCGTGATTTAAAATAGACTTATTTTTCTCTTTTTATATTTTTCCAACCTATAACCTCTAACTTGCAGTCACGATGCCATCTCCATCGGGGGAGTGCACTCAAGGATTCATCCGCATAAATCTCTCATTGCCTTTGGCTGCGTCGAGGACGCAGAAAAGTGGATGCGAATTTTAATGAATATGCGCTATATGGTCGCTCAGGTCCCGTCCACGTCCACGTCCCCGTCCACCTATAACAGTCCACCCATGACCACCCATCACTCAGCCTCCTTTGAGCTGCGGATCGAGCCATCCGAATGCTGCAAATGTTTCAATTTTACGTGGCACTGTTTAGTGCTGCGGCTGCCGGCACAGGGTTCGATTTTGATTTGGCTAACGCCCGTAATGAGCCGGCGGAATTTTATGGGCCAGCTACGAATGCAGTCGGGTTCGATCCAGCAAACATGTACGCGACCATAAAATTGATGGGCCAGTGTAAGAGTGTGTGGATAAAGCAACCAGTGCTGCCAGCTTTTCCTAATAAACAAATGGCTTTTAGCTGGAAAAAGTATACAAATTAGAATCATTTGAACTAACATTTTTAAATTAGGTACAAAATTCCAGGAGGAAATATAATCTACTCCTTCTTAATTGGTATTCTAATAATCTAATATCTATCTATCTATCTATCTATCTATCTATATAACGATTTCATGCCTACTATTTAAGAGCGTTCGTGCTCAAAAAGTTCTCACATTGAGCACATTTTGGATTTAAATATATTATAATTCCCAACTTTTTATTCTGAAAGTGCTCGGTATAAACTAAAAATATAAATATTATGTAGATATATCTATTATGTAGATATATCTATCTATCTATACCTATTTATCTTACCAGCATATAATTAAAACCCAATTCATATTTAATTGATTTAAGAATTATTGATCCTTAAATCATGCCTGCAACTTTCTTACTTTATTGTTAAATCGATCTAGTTTTTAGTACAAATATTTAATATTTTCCATGCTTGGCGAAGTTTTGACACCGAAAATACTTGATTCAAGCACGAAATACTTTATTTTTGTTTCTAAGTGTACTGTTTAGTATTTGACCTACTTAAGCAGAGCTCAAGACACTGAATTCTTTTTAAGGGCTTACTGAAATGATGGCTGATTTTTAAGATGCATGATATGTTATAAAAATAAAAGCCAAAAAATAGCCAGTCGGACAGCACTCGGACTATATCTGCCACCGGCAGTGGCAGCCTCATCAATTTGATGTCGTGCACATTTAATGTGGTGTTGAGGGCGCGCGGATGCATAAAAAACCGAACCCGAACCCAGTCCGCGATCCAACGAGGCCATAAATTACTAATAAAAGTCGCATGGGAGTGTAGTTGACGGGGTCGCGGCTTTAGTGTGTTAAAGCGGAAATGCGTTGGGCGCCATTTTGTGCGTGGGGTGTGGGAGGTGGCGCGGTGCTAACAAATGTGCGGCCTATTGACACATTCGGCGTGACACATTTCGTAGGGTAAATAAATTGTGTAAATCACATGTTCGGCTAACGAAATCCCAACCAAATTCTTAATGAATCCCCGGGCCTAAAGGAGTGGCGAACCCAGGGAAATCGAGCCACAATGACTGTCATCAGACGTGTGGCCATTCCCGTTCGCCAGGCATCTACTAAAAACTCAAAGATTGGGCACAGCACAGCCTCTGTGATTCGGTCGCTGAGAAAACTCACGCCCACGGCATTCAAGACCCTTCGCCAGGCCATCGCCAAGGCGGAGCACTTGGGCACCATGGGTCAGATGATACGGCTAAACGATCGGGAACAGGAGGCCAACAAGGTGATCATGGCCGTTAAGAAGAAAGAGATCTCCAAGGGCATTCTAGATCCAACCAAATTCACGCCGGGCCAGCACATCTTTAAGACCCTGACCGAGATACGCAAATCTCCGATCTTCAATTTGATCAAAAAGATGCCCAAGGGCGGGGTCCTCCATGCCCACGATACGGCGCTCTGCAGCACCGAATATCTAATAAGCCTGACCTATCGCGAGAATCTTTGGATCTGCACGGCGGATGAGGGCTGCAAGGCCATTGCTTTTCGATTTTCCAAGGAGAAACCCACTCAGAAACCCATGGAGAAATGTAACTGGGAGCCAATGGCGGATTTCCGAGAACGACGGGGTGAAGACAATGTGACCCAATACCTCAGGCGAAGGTTCAGCATGTATCCCTTCTCCAAGTTCATATCGAATAATCAAGCCTGGGCACACTTTATGGGCATCTTTATTCTGCTGGATGGCTTGCTCTGCCACGCCCCCATTTGGGCGGAGTACTATTACAACGCCCTCAAGGAGTTCTCCGAAGACGGGGTGCAATATCTAGAGCTTCGATCCCTGCTGCCGCCGCTCTACTGCATCGATCGCGATATGCTAACCACCCGGGACACGGTGGCCATCTATAAATCTGAACTGGAACGCTTCAAGGCCGACCATCCAGATTTTATTGATTCTAAGCTGATATACGCCCCGCTGAGAGGAGTGGAGCCAAGTGTGGTGGAGCAGTATGTGAAGACAGCTGTGGAACTTAATGTAAGTTTTAATGACTATGAAATGAAGGCAAACTTCAAAAATAGAAATTTTATATCTTTAATTATACCTCTATACCTCTAAGTTCTAGACAGCTAAGAAGCTTTTCTTCCAGATATTTGGCATAGCAGATTCAAAATAAATCCAAGTATACCTAAGTAAAAGAAAATTTATCCATTTTTTTAAACTTGTGTATTATTTTGATTAGCATTGCTAAGTACGAACTCTAATAAATAAGATTGTACGTAGAGAAAGTTCATTTTTAAAAGCCACATCTATAAAATCTGTATGTTGTGTCTAATAAGGTCACACTCTTTGAATATCTTGCTTATCATAAAACTTACCTTTTACATTTCTTAATCAAGACACATACAAGAGTCCATATTTATATTACTTTTCTTATTGCACTCATATATTTATTTTATTAAAAATAATATGCGATTATGTTCGCCCTCTTCCCAATCAGAAAGAATTTCCGGATTTTATGGTGGGCTTTGATCTGGTGGGTCAGGAGGAGCTGGGTCGACCACTGATTGACTTCGTGGAGCCTCTGCTGAAAATGCCCGAGCACATCAATTTCTACTTCCACGCTGGCGAGACGAACTGGTTTGGATCGCCCATCGATGAGAACCTGGTGGACGCCATTCTGATGGGCACCAAGCGGATCGGCCATGGCTTCGCCCTCACCAAGCACCCGATGATTATGCGGCTGGCCAAACTGCTGGACATCGCCATCGAGGTGTGCCCCGTGTCGAACCAGGTGCTCCAGCTGGGCGTGGACTATCGGAACCATCCGGCGGCTCTGCTTTTGGCCGACAATGTGCCCATTGTGATATCCTCGGACGATCCGTCCTTCTGGCGCTGTGCCCCGCTGTCCCACGACTTCTACTTCGCCTTCCTGGGCATTGCCCCGATGAAGGCGGACCTGAGGTTCCTCAAAAGCCTGGCCGTAAACTCCATCCGGTACAGTGCCCTGGTGGGCGAGGAAAGGCAGGCGGGGTACCAAAAGTGGCTGAAAATGTGGAACCAGTGGATCGAGGATGTGGTGGCGAATAAGTGTGATTGAGGACCTTCCCTTAAATAAATATTGAACGCACTTATTTTATATTTTCGCATTTAATTTATTTGAATTTCGCCTGCACACGGATAACTCTGACGCTAGCTAAGAGTTGACTTACATCGATACAATTGATATGGGTGATGGCTAAGCTTCGCTCGTCACACGACCTAAATCAGAGAACTCGTTTCGGGATATTTTCGGGGGATATGTGTGGTTGGGGGGCATAACGAAACTATGACCGGGTCATGAGCCCGGGTCTTGTCCATTTTCATCCAGCTAAATTCTTTGTTCAAGCAGAGTCTTAGGCGTACGTGTAGATTCTGAATACAAGTGAGTATATAGCACAGTTATAACTTGAATGCACACGAATTTAGCATTTGCTCATTTGGTTTAGAATTGTTTAAGCCTTTTACATCTATGTCTTTAAAATTATTATTACCATATACGTTATTATTGGGCAGCATTCCATTCAAATGATTTTCTGAAAATGTTCCTTTTCATCTTTTTTTTTTGTCGCGCTTGTTTCGGTGTATAGATGCTTGCAAAAATATTTGTAATATTCGGCCTGTGTTTGTTGTTTGCCCTTGGTTTAGTACTAACCCTATCGTTCACATACCTAAACTTACTGCCTCGATATGTTCAAATCCTAAGTATAACTCGCATCGCCTGTCCAATTTTCCTTTACAATCTTAACCATCTTTGGGGCCTTAAGTATCGCTATGCTGTACAAATCTTAAACGCTACTCTTCTCTATCTGCTATATCTTTATATATCTGTGACTCGGCCGATCGAGTTTTATTTCATGACTTGCGTGAGAATCTTTTACGCTATGTGAGTTGCTGCCAGTGCTGTTGATGTTGCTGCTGTTGTTGATGTTGCTGCTGTTCATGTTGCTGCTGCTGCTGTTGCTGCTGTCGAAGTTTTTCGGCCTTCCAACTGGATTCGCCCACACTCAGGGGATAGGGTATAATATCCGGCTGTTGTTCCGAGGACATGTTGTCCACATCGTTGTGGTCAACGTTGTTGCTGTTCTCGACCACATCCACATCCACATCCACATCCACATCCTCTCCGCTGCCCTTGTTGTTGCCAATATTGTTGTTGGTCGGCTCATTTGGTTCGCCATTAATTTCGTGGTTCCGGCCTCGGTTATTGTTTTCGTAATTGTAATAACCATATTTATTTGTGTTAGACATATTGTCGTCGCTGTTGCTGCTGCTGTTGCTGCTGTCGGCGTTGCAATTCTGTGGGCAGGAAAAAATAAGGAAAGGGAAAACCATATGAAATTTTAATATATTTAAATAATTAATATAACTTAATTCTGGTCTCGTCCCCAGAGTATTTGTTATGCAGCGGTTTCTGAATTTTGTTCAGCTATTACTTTGGCTATGAAAGTTCTACGTAGCTCAATAAGAAAAATATCTGTAAACTATAACGTTTGAAATTTATCACAATAATTTGTTGCAAAAAAGGATTACAAATGAAGGAATCCTTTAAATTGACAAACTTCCAAGTACAATAGTAAGCATAAGTATTTTGTCAAAACATAAAGTTAAATGTACTCAAAGTTTGACCTAACTTTATGCATATTTCATTTAAAAATCATAAAGAATATTAGCAAGGAGATTTTTGAAAATGTCTAGTTGCAGTTACTTTTAGATTATTCGGAGAAACTTTGAACAACATTTTTTTTATTTTAAGCCGACTGATGTTAAAATGGATCAAGTCAGTTTAAATTATGAGTTCATTTAACTTTGTTTTTTTTTCAAAATACTTATGCCGTTATGTACGTTTATTAATGACTTCAAGTATAAATAAATTGGGGTATGTTTGTTTCAATTTATTTTAATTTTTACCTCCCCTTTGAGAACTACAATAATTTAATTTAACACTTTTAAACAAACACAAGATACTTTGACTCCACGTGCACAGCTATAATTATCTGTATAGTTTATAGGTTATTTGTTTTGGTCAACTTAGTCAAGTGGTTTCAGCAAGGTAGATAAGGTGCCACAAGCACCGCAAGATGCACTTGAACCACTTGTTGCTATTGCAAAAATTACACAAACAATATCTTTCAAAGAAAACAATAGTAAAAGCAATTACATTTTACATGTATGGTGTAGAGCAACAAACAATGATAAACTGACATTTGATATGAGAACCCTTGTTACATTTAACTTTACAAGAGGCCAGATAAGCCCTAACCAAGTGCATACAAGGCAAATGTTTCCTGTGGGAAAATATACTATTTCAGTGAAGCATTCGAGCAAGAAATATGAACTGTCTGTTTGTTGGAGTCAAGAAATTTAATTGGGTCAATGTCTAGACAGATAATGTCAACCGCAAGAAGGCACGGACTGATTTGATATGATACCCAATGGCAAACATACCTATAAAAGGCTGCGTTTTATGCATTAGTTCACAATTTGAATTTCTGCAATTCAGCAAGTTAATCAAAAGCTTTCAAAAACGATGAGTGCCTGTACAGTACCAACTACTTTTGGAAAAACAAAGGAGACCGCCAGGATAGTCATTATCGGAGCTGGCGCCTCAGGAATAGCGGCTGCCACCAGACTCTTGGAACAGGGATTCAGGAATGTCCAGCTTTTCGAGGCGGAGGATCGCATTGGTGGTCGCATCAACACAATCCCATTCGCCAATAGCTTCGTCGATCTGGGAGCTCAATGGTGTCATGGGGAAGAGGGCAATGTAGTCTACGAGAAGGTCAAGGACCTGGATGTCCTCGATAGGACCGGTGATTTTGCCGTCTACTTTGTGCGCTCCAACAAGGAAATTCTCTCCGACGATCAGACCAAGGCTCTCAAGGAGTTCCAGGAGGAATTTGAGATTAAACCCGATTGTGAGGGATCCGTAGGTGACGCCATCATCGAAAGCTATTGGAAGGAGGTGGGCCAGCAGGTTTTCCCCAACGATAAGATCGTCGCTAAGGAGGCCCTGGACTGCCTGAAGAAGGTTATTTGCTCTGAGGATGCCTGCGATTATCTCTCCGAACTTTCGCCCCGAAACTATCGGAATTTTGAAATGTGCGGAGGAGATCAGAATCTTAGCTGGCGGCGAAAAGGGTACTGGAAGTTCTTGAGCGTCATACTAAATTCTAACGAGGATCAGCCCGGTGACCAGGGAATCCTTAAGGGACACGTGCATCTCAACAGACGGATTGCTGAGATCAATTGGTCGGGAGACGGTGAATTGACCCTTCGCTGCTGGAATGGTCAGTTAGTCTCAGCGGATCATGTCATTTGTACTGTCTCCCTGGGAGTTCTCAAGGAGAAGCACAAGAAGCTCTTCGTGCCGGCTCTTCCTGCTGCCAAGGTTAGGTCCATCGAGGGTCTAAGACTGGGCACTGTGGACAAGTTCCTCCTGGAGTTCGACGAGCAACCGTTACCGGAGAACATGAGGGGCATCGCCTTCCTTTGGATGGAGGAAGATCTGAAGGAGCTTCGATGTGGCGAGTTCTTCTGGCTGGAAAGCGTCTGCAGTTTTCATCGTGTGGATCGCCAACCGCTTTTGCTAGAGGGTTGGATCATAGGGGCCCATGCCCGGTATATGGAAACCCTCAGCAAGGAGAAGGTCCTCGAGGGTCTGCAGTGGCTCTTCAGGAAATTCCTCAAGTTCAACGTGCCCCATCCCAAAAATTTCTTGCGTTCTCAGTGGCACTCCAATCCGAACTTCAGGGGTAGCTACAGCTTCTACCCCACCTATGCCGATGAACTTCGCACGGGTCGTACCGATTTAGGATCCCCTTTGCTGCATGTTTCTGGAAGACCCAGGATCCAGTTCGCCGGAGAGGCCTCCAGTCGTAAGCACTTCTCTACGGTACATGGAGCCACAGAGTCGGGATGGCGCGAAGCAGATCGTCTCAATGAGTTCTACAAAGGACGAGCTGAGAACTAAGGCAACTTCAAGTGAAGCTTAAAAAAAGTCCCAAAAGCAAGCTCTTTCTCGAAATCAATTAATACAATTTTATCGTACATGTAACCAAATGGTTCAGTAATTGGCATTCATTCTGTACCACCCAGATCTTAAAATTTTTCAAAACACTAAAATGTAATACATTTATATTTCCTTTGGCAAATAAACTACTCAACCCAAAAACAGAATAACCCACGTTTAGTTGGTTTAAAATCGATATTTTGCTGCTATGTAGGCAAATGTAATTAAAGGAGAGAAACAATCACTATAGAGTATTTCTGACACCTCGAACACTCCGTATACTTCTTGCGACACACGAAACATTTACATTTTCACTCACCACTTCACCACCCAATCAAAATTCTTAGGTAAATAGCACTCCCGAATACAGAACTATAATTTCAAGGAATTTAATCTGCTCAACGCAAGGGTGTGCCATCGTGCCTCTGCATAAAGGAATCCCAACTAAACCCATTTAATCCCGTGGCAAGTGAGTTAGTTGTGCAATTAAGCCGAATGTTCCACTCCCAGCTATGTCAAGAGTGCCAGTTCCAACTGTCAGCCACTCACTATATCCATCTGGATCCCCATTCCCATTCCCCTCACCAGTCGCCATTGCAATCAGCAAACACAGAGAAATACTTTGCCAGTCATAACAACCATTACCTGGGCCATAACACAAGTCCGGCAAAGAACAGACACAGAAACAGGAACAGAACGACTGCTCTGCCAGCTAGGCAAATGTGTGTCCTTTGGTCAAACAGAGACTTGTTTAACATTGTCACTCGAGGAGTCACGAGCACGTGGATGAACATGGAGGCACTGAGCAGAAAAAGGGGTTCCTTAAACTTTAAATCAGTCTTAAATGTTATCACAGGTGTCTGAAAGTATGCAACAAAATATTTTATGCGGAGAAGCACAATGAAATCACTCAGAAATCACTCAGTATCTTCTACTTACTGCATACTTTTAGGCGACATTTAAAAGTTATTTCAAGATCCTAGTGATTTCTGTAGTACCCCCTATACTGACTTTTTTCTTGGTAACCCTGATATTTGGAAATCCGAAAG